AATCTAATAATAAAACTTCCTCTATTCATTTTTATTTAAAATGTTAGAGTTATTTATGAAATTATTTAAATATTTTTAATAAAATTTTATTACACGTTAATTTATTAAGAGTATTTAAAAAATTTTTATTATCATTGTTGATATTTTAATTAATAAGATGTGTTGATTTTTTACAATCTAATAATAAAACTTCCTCTATTCATTTTTAATAAATCTAGTTTAATTTTTTAATTTTTTAAATATAAATTTCAAATAAAAATTTAACAACTTATATAAACAATAATTAACAAGTTTTTTTTTCCATATAATGTTCTTATTGAGTATTTTTATTTTATAAAAAAAATTAATTATCATTTGTATATTATATTAAATTTTTATTGAAAATTTATATTTGAAAAAAAAAAAGTTAAACTAAGTAAGGGAGTAATTATTAAGTTGACCAGTATGACAATTAAAAGATTGAGGACCTAATTGAAGCATAGTTAAAAGTTAAAACACAAGATCTTCACCAGTTCGCACAATTTGCAAAGCTCCGTAAGCAAATGCATGGGCTACCAAACACCATACCACTGGCAAAGACACAAGGCAAGGCTAGCGACTGAAACTAGGGAGAGAACCCAAGTAAAAAGATGGAGTCTTGGGAGATCTGAGTTCCACAGTCAACAACACCACCGCAGTTCCTTGACGAAGAAGCCTCCAAATACAACCTCGAAATTCCATTTCCATTCCTAAAACCTTTTTCTCTTTTTTTTTTTTGTCCCCTCTTTACTTACTTCCTTTACTCTGCGTCTTCTTCACGAAATGCCGTTAAAGCCATTCCACAACACCTATTATTGCACCCTCTCTGCTTCCGCTCCGCACTTCTTCCGCCCCTGGAGCCACTGAAGCTTCCAATCGGAAGGTCGCGTCCTGCGTTCATTTGAATTTTCAAGGTTTGAGCTCTTTGTGTCTTCGTTTTAGTAATGTTGGTTAATTTCGCAAATATTCTCTTGTTGTTTCGAGTTTTAATTTTCTGATTTTAACTGTTTGGTTGTCGAGAAAGTATAGGGAAATGCAGAAACTAAAAATGTAGCATTTTTCCTTCCTTTCTCGGAACCAAAATGACATCAAGTGTGAGATTCAAATCCTTTACTTTCTTAGTTTTTCCTGCATTACACTACCAAATTCTTCAGTACATAAAAGAAAAAAGAATTCCTTGGAAAATTCTTATTTATTTTTGTGTAGAATTCAATTCTCATGATTAAAATAAAAAAAAAACTCCAGTGGATTCAATGCTGATCATTTCCCATAAATTCAGACCAAAGCTTCCATACGCATTCAGGCTTTCATATCCTGCAATTTTACTATGTCATTATTATGATTGATTATTTAATTCATAGCATTTATTATAGCAGGTGAATGCCAAACAAAAATATTTCTTCAATATCACTTGATGAAATGTCATCCTCTCTAATTACTTAGGTGTTATGTGAATACATTCAAAGGTATTCTTAGCTGCGTGGAGTCTAGACATTAAAAGGTCGTTTCTTTGTGAATTGTAACAATTTTTACCAGTTTGGTAGCTGCAGGAACTAAAATGCCATCTTGCCTGGCAATTATTTATCTCGAATTTTATCTTATTTGTGGGTTGCAACTTCGTATTTAAGTTAATTGGCTTAGTAGTGTGATTTAGTGTTCTAGTTGAAGTCTTTATGTTTTTGCATTTTTTGGTTCGTTTTATTTGACATCTGGAGGATAATTTTAAAAGCTGAAATGGAGATTCCTTCTGTATTTTGTCCTGCATGCTTTAATAATGCATTACTTTGCCTTTATTGCAAAAGAATTATGCTTTATTATTATTATGACTTTAATTTAGGTTACAGTGATGATGCTTTCATTGCTCTTCTTGTATTATGATTTATGAGATAACTAAGCCCTTTGCAGAAATGAAGGCCACAAATACTATTAATTGCTTGGTAAAAATTATACTCTAGGAATGTTCTGCTTGATGTGTATTACAGTTGTATTTGTGTGTGTGTGTGTGTGTATACCCTTAAGAAAGTAACTCTGTGAAAAGGTGATGGATGGTTCTGGCATCTTTCTGGTTTCCAAACTTATTAGTCTTATATTTATACATTGTGAACATCATTACTGTTAGCAAAAGTAAAAAGAAAAGTCTCAGCTGAATTGTTTTATCAGTTAGCTTTTTCAACAATGTTTATTTTCTCCTTCTGTGATTATCCTCTATGTTTCATCATTGTCCCACATGAGTCAACTGTTTGGTTCCCTGATATCAGAGGGTAATAAACCAAAGTTATGTTCTAAACTATTCTTATATTCCAGGGGAGGAAGGACTGCTGAGATGAAGCAACACTCCTTTCTTACTGCAATTGCTTTACTGTTGTTCCAGTTTTTCATTTCCAAAATAGTTGCTGACCTAAATTCAGACAAACAAGCACTCCTCAACTTTGCTGCCAAAGTCCCTCATGGCAGGAAACTTAACTGGAATCCAACCATTCCAGTCTGCACTTCTTGGGTTGGAATAAATTGCAACCAGGATGGATCCCATGTGCTCTCTGTCCATCTTCCCGCTATTGGACTGCATGGTCCAATTCCAGCCAACACCCTTGGGAAGCTGGACGCCCTCATGATCCTCAGCCTCCGATCCAACCACCTCAATGGGAGCCTTCCCTCTGATTTACTCTTCCTTCCCTCCCTCCGTTACATATACCTTCAAGATAACCACTTTTCAGGCTACATCCCTTCTTTTCTGTCTCCCCAGCTGAGTTTTCTTGATCTATCCTTCAACTCCTTCACGGGCAATATTCCAGCATCAGCCCAAAATCTGACTTACCTCACTGGTTTAAACCTCCAGAATAACTCCCTGACAGGACCTATCCCCAATTTTAATCTTCCAAGACTCAGGTATTTGAATTTGAGCAACAACCACCTAAATGGATCAATACCACTTACCTTGCAGAAGTTCCCAGCTTCCTCTTTCGTAGGGAACTCCATGTTATGTGGGGAACCACTTAACCAGTGTCCAACAACTGCCCCTACAACTTCTCCTTCACCTACTTATTTACCGCCTCTGCCTTCAGAAACTCAAAGAAAGGCAAAGAAGAAATTAAGTCGAGGAGCTATCATTGCCATTGGAGTCGGAGGTTCAGCTCTGTTCTTCTTCCTACTTCTTGTGATGGTGCTTTGCTGTTTAAACAAAAAGAATAGCGAAGGCAATATTGCAGCAAAAGGAAAAGGCGGGAGTGAGAAGCCTAAGGAGGATTTTGGAAGTGGGGCGCAAGAGGCTGAGAGGAACAAGTTGGTTTTCTTTGAGGGATGTTCATATACGTTTGATCTTGAGGATTTGTTGAGAGCTTCAGCTGAAGTGTTAGGAAAGGGGAGTTATGGAACGATCACCTACAAGGCCATCTTGGAAGAGGGAACAACAGTGGTTGTGAAGAGAGTGAAAGAAGTGGTGGCTGGGAAAAGAGAATTTGAACATCAAATGGAAATGGTGGGAAGGCTTGTCCAGCACCCAAATCTTGTGTCTCTACGTGCCTACTACTTTTCCAACGACGAGAAGCTCCTCGTTTATGACTACATGGAATCAGGCAGCTTCTCTGCATTATTACATGGTATGCCTTATCAGATCATCCCATCCTCCCCCCCCCACCAATCTTTTTCTTCTAATTTCTTGGGTTACGCTTATTCGATTTGTTTGTAAGTAGCATCAACACAAAAAAGTACCTGCCTATGTTATAGATAGATGTCATTTGCTCAGGGAATAATTAAGCATTAATTCTACATATTTTTCCTTTTTAGGCTCAGCAAGGAAATGAGATCTTCAAAATTTTAACTTCTTTGTTCTAGACTACATAAAATGTAGAGCAAAAAAGACTCAAAAATGTAGGAAGCCAAAGTTGCATTCTGTTGTGCTATGCCACATAAATTGTCCTGACAGTTTCTCCACATGCCCCTTTTCACAACTCCCATTTTCAATGTGATTACAGGAAGCAAGGCAGGGGTACGTGCTCCGCTAGATTGGGATACCCGAGTAAAGGTTTGTCTCGGAGCAGCGAAAGGCATTGCTCATATCCATTCCACAAATGGTGGAAAATTCGTCCATGGCAACATCAGGTCCTCTAATGTTCTCCTCACCCAAGACCTCAACGGCTGCATTTCTGATTCTGGCTTGGCTCCTCTAATGAGCTACTCAACTATCCCATCTAGAACTGCAGGTTACCAAGCTCCTGAAGTGATTGAAACTCGGAAATTTACTCAAAAGTCTGATGTCTACAGCTTTGGTGTTCTTCTCCTAGAGATGCTAACAGGCAAAGCACCATCTCAAACCCCAGGACATGAAGAAGTGGTTGACTTACCAAGGTGGGTGCAGTCTGTTGTTCGTGAGGAATGGACTGCTGAGGTTTTTGATGTGGAACTAATAAGGTACCCAAACATTGAAGAAGAGATGGTTCAGATGCTTCAGATAGCGATGACATGTGTCTCGAGTTTACCAGATACGAGACCCACCATGGAGGAAGTGGTTCGGATGATCGAGGAAATCCGGCAATCAGATTCTGAAAACCGTCCATCCGAGGAGAAGAGCTCAAACACTCAAACGCCATAATCCATCCAGCATTCTATCCAAGTTTGTTCCCGTAAGAGGCTTCAGCGTCCTGTTTGATTCGAGCCATATGGAGTTTGGTTGTCCCCAGGCTTAAATTGGTACGGTGAGGCAATGTTAACACGACCTCACAGGCCTTCCGAAAATAAGTTCTTAACAGTACTTAGAATGTGTTCGTGTCATTCTTTTAGGATTTTAGCATTAAATAATCTCATTTGTCTCCCTCGATTGCACAAAACTAACCATTGGATTGGAAGAGATCTCCTAAATACGAATGCTTCCCCCAATCCAGTGGTTCTCACCAGACTGCGAAAAAATAGAACTCCAAGATATTTTCATCTAATATTCCCTTATATTTTTGAAAACCCAATAATCAATGTATGGATGTCTCTGTCTGTATGTGTCGAGATTTGTAATCTCATGCCATGCCAACATAGTAAGTAACCACAAGAATTGAATAACTCAGTATGTTGTTGCTCCCCTTCAACCCAAGTATATATCAATGTAAATGGCCCAATTTAGCCACAGATTTTTAATCTCTATTTCGAAAGCATATCACGTATGCTAAGAAGAAAAAAAATCATTATAATGAATGAACAATGAAATTTTAATTCGACTAAGCTAAAGCCCAGAGCTTTAAGAGTTGTCAACCAAGTCAGCACCGCTAACATACCTAGCAACAAAGGATATTAACCTGAATGGAGCACCGACTAGTGGAGCATCCGATAGTGGCACAGCAGCATTTTCATTAGTCAAAAGAGTTTGTGATTCCAATTCCCGAACATCGGTATCAGTATCATCTAACGGAATTTGCACAATCTCTCCAGAGACGTTAGGTTCTGAAGGGTTGGAAAATACAACGGCAGATTCCACATCCATGTTATCCCTACTGATTCTCTCTTCTTCCAAGGTGCCAAATTTTGGATCCAAGATTGGCGCATTCTCATACTGTTCTTGCATAGGATCAGGAAGATCAGAGGTTTGAGCACTTCTAACCATCAGATTGCTTCTATTGGCTGTTGAAACCCCAGCAGTAAAGCTTTGTTGACTGAGTTTGATGTATAATTCATTCACCTGATAAATAATATAATTGAATCACGGCTTATGAAATTGTGAAAGGGCAAGCCTTTTAAACACATCAGGCATCCAACAAAATAACAAAAACCAATCACGTGTTGGCAAGGGAGAGGACACAGTTAATTACCTTCTCAACAAGCTCTGCATTTTCTGTGATCAGTTTGTCAATCAGTGCACATGCTGCTTCAATCTGAGAGTTCATGTCCTCATGTTCAGAAGAATGCTACACCAGAGAAAATAAATCAGTCATCTCTTTCTCCGAAATGCATATGAGCAAACCCACAGACACAAAACCACCCACCAAGTCCCAGAGAGGAACTACATTAGAGATATCTAATATCCAGCTGATTTAAAGATGGAGCATATAAGACCAATATTTATTGCCAACATTTACATCTATTGACATAAATTGAACCACAAGGCCACGTCGCCACAACTACAAAAATTATTAGGTCATGGGAACTCAATATGATAGTGTCAAGACATCAAATTTCTGGCATCCAATGTTGGGTGCAAGATACCCACACCAATACCAAAGAAAGGAGGAAACCATAACATCCAGAACATTCACATTCATACATAAAACTAGCAAGAATGTATTATAAATCATTGCAATCTGCAGCCAGTTATGTTGTAGCACTTTCTAAAATCTAAAGCAAGTTTGATATCCTAAAGTTAAGTTTTGTCTGGTAGCAATGGGATGAGATCATGAGAAAAGGTTACCTCCTAATCTCTGACCCACCTAACTGCTCAAAAGAAAATAAAAGAAAGAAAGAAGCTAAAAACAAAGGAGAAAGAGGCAAACAGTAGCTTTGACTTTTGAGCAGCTAACCTTTCCATGTTCATCTGATGATTGATCAGAGGTAACATTTCTCTCGAGGTTTTGAATATGTAACTGTAGGCCAGATACATTTGCCACTAGCTGTTGGTTTTCTTCTAAAAGCCTGCTCCTTGATTCTTCCAACTCTACCACCTGCCAAGCTTTGTTTTAATTTCCATATTAGGACAACATAGTTATGCAGCAAGATATTCATGTCCCATGCACACCACACAAACAATTTACCACACTCAAAATTGACAATTAATGTCTGTGATCATATTCAAACTGAAAGGAATAAAATTATACTACAGAATTCCAAACTTATACCACAGCTAAAGGTGATTTTTTCCCCTTTTTTTGGCCAACAGCCAGAGGTGGATTGATAAGGTAAAAAATGCCATATACCTGCATCCTTAGTTTTGCAATATCACGATTCAGGCAAGAAATTACTTCTTTGGAGGTATCCTGCAACTTAGTAACAATTTAAGGTTAAGACATCATTTATGGGAATGAACATTACTCTTTGATCATTAGATACAACTCAAAACAAGCCCAAATCAGACACACCTAAAAGGTGTCTCGACACCATCCAAATTTCAATTAGATCCCAGTGCCTTACACCCTAAAATGCACATTTTCTAAAGAAAATACACCATCTTACAGAAGATGAGAGAAAAAGTGACTACCTCTGTCTGAACCCAGATTTCTTTCTCCTTGTTTAGGTGCTCAATTTTTTCCTCTAAGCTTGCCTGCAGAGTGTTGTCTAGCTTATTTAAATATTATGAACGGAAATTATATAGAAAAGATTATCAAATCAAACATGCAAATACAAGCAGATATCGCATTAAGATTGAGATAAAGAAGGAATACATAAAACTAGTCAAGGGAAAGAAGCAAAACTTTAATGGCAAAGTCATAGTTCCAGAATATTACCATGTTCAGATGCAAAGCAGTTCTTTCTTCTGCTAACTGGGTAATTCTCTCCTCCAAGCTTGCCTGCAGAGAACATGGACCTTAAATTAACAAGTTTAAACACAGCTTCTGCAAGACAATAAAACAGAAGAGCTCAAGGCGCATGGATATCTTGACAGTTTTTCAGAAGCCCATTTCCCGTACAATGATAAAAGGGAAATATGATATTCCAAATTTTCGAATGATGATACCTTACATTGAAGATATTAATCAAACTAATTACCAAGGGCCAAAAAAAAAAAAATAATAATAAAAATAACTACCTGTTTTTGAGACCATATATCTTTTTCACCATGTAGTTCAGCAATACTTGTCTCCAAAATAGCCTGTAAATTATCCAGTCAGATAAGGCAAAAAGATAAGTTGCATACAATACTTGTCTCTATGCCCACTTCCCATAACCATAAATGATAAAGGCAAATATGATATTTCCAATATTTGGGAAGATAATACATTGTAACGTTAAAGATATTAAACAAACTAAATTACCTGTTTTTGAGACCAGACATCTTTTTCATTCTGTAGTTCTGCAATACTTATCTCTAAACTAGCCTGTAAATTATCCAACTATATGAGGCAAAATATATACAAAGGAGAAACAGACACAGCCAATACAGAACTGAGAAAGCACATTCTAAAGAAAATATATCAAAACGTTTACCCCTGAACATCCATAATGATAAGGATTTACTTTAGTATCTTACCTCTTTCTGCCTGCACATATCATTTTCATACCGTAATTGATGGATTGTCCCATCTAAGATAGCCTGTAAAAACAAGGAGAAATATTTTCTACTTTACCAGTGAGAAAAAGAAGTTTCTGACAAACTTTTCTAACATGATTGAGCAGAAAAGGGGTAAAACATTTATCTATGAACACAAGAGCTCACAAAATATTTGTTCTCAATCCCCCACAGGTTTACCTTGTTCTGTATGTGTGAGTAATTTTCATTTTGCAACCTTAGGATTGCCTCTTCTAAGCCAGCCTATAACAACAAAGTGAATTGTATGAGGTTCAGAACAAGCGAATGATGATAAAACAGGAAATTCTGAAAGATAATCAAATGGATAGGTTTAAAAAACCTCATGTAAGAATCCAAATGTATTTTAATATTGATTCCATAATTGGATCAATATTACACTACCTCTTTCTTTAAATGTGAATCATTTTTACTTTGCAACTGCTTGATTGTCTCTTCTAAGGTGGCCTGCAAAACCAAAGCAAGTTAAATGTGCT